TGAGGGGCGCTTATATAAAGAAAACTATGTTAAAGAAAACTAGAGAGATTATAGCACCATCGGATCCGTGGCGCAATGGTAGCGCGTCTGACTCCAGATTCATGAAGGTTGCGTGTTCGATTCACTGTTCGGGTTCAAAACCCCGATCCAAACGGATCTTTCCTTTTTTTTTCTTTTTTTTACTAATAGTTAATTTTAATAATTAAGAAAATGTGATTATATAAGAAGGTAATTTTTCCCTAGTAACACGCCATTGCAAGGCATGGAATTCGATTTTAAGAAGGTAATTTAAAATCGATTTTCCGATTCAAATTGGTTTCCAAGGCATGGAATTCTTGCCTAATGCCTGGTCATGATTTGTTTATAATGGCTTCGTCTAAAATGGACTTATGCCTTTTCTCTCTCTCCCTTCCATATGTTAATTTGATTTGATTGGGAACTTTGGAGAGATGGATATATATTTTAAAGAGATGGAGCAATTGATATAAGAGTAGACAAGTGTTTGAGGAAAGGAATAATAATTCGTTCCTTGTTTGTATTGGTAAATATATAGTTACAAGTGAATAGGCCGAGAAGATACAGATAAACATAATCTATACTATATTAAAAAGTACGTTCACCTGTAAAACTTTTGAATCGTCCATTATATCCTTATTTTTTTATAGTTTTACTCAACTAAAAACTCTAATTTTATTTAATTAAATCTAATATCTTTATGATTTTTACCATTTTACTATTTTAATTAAAAAACTTATATATATATTAGAATTTTTTAAATATACTTTTACAGTTTTACTCAACTAAAAACTCTATTTTTATTTAATTAAATCTAATATCCTTATACCTATTTTATTTTTACCATTTTACTATTTTATTTTAAAAACTTATATATATTAGAATTTTTTTAATATATTTCTTAAATGAAATTTTTTAAATTTTACAATTTTTTTAGAAATAAACTTTTACAGTTATTCTACTAAAAAATCTATTTTTATTTAATTAAATTCAATATTATTATAAATATTTTATTTTTACCATTTTAATTTTAAAAAATTTGAGACGACCCATTTCAATTATAATATAAACTAATAAAAGTATTATTATCAAGTTTAAAACTAATCATTAATTATTCATAAAAACTAATTAAGTTAAAAATTTATTTATTTAAAATTTAATTATTGTGATTAACCTTTTTTTTCTATTTTTGGAGTGTGTATTGGTAGTTTAATGTATTGGAGTGTATAATAAGAATTTAAAGTTTTTAAAAATAAAAAGAAGAGTAACATGTAATTAATTCCTTTGACTTATAAAGTTAGAGGAGTCAATCAGGTGGGTTGGACAAGTTTCGAATCATCTGAGTCTAGGTCAAATGAGTCAGGTAATTTTCTCAAGTTATTGCTCAGCTGGGTTTGAATAAATGATAATTTAGAATGGTTAAAATTATAACAATGTGGATCTTATTGAATAAAATATAATTTTAGTTTATAATTTTCTCGGGTCATTCGGATTTTGACTCATCTGAGTTCAGATCATTCGGGTATGCTAGGTCTAGGGTCAGGTGGGTTCGGGTTTTGGTCTCAGGTCACTCGGGTTTTTGGATTTTTCGGATTTAGGACTCGGATCAATTGGGTCAGCCTTGTATTTTTTAATGTTTAATCTTAAATTTATTATTTACTAAAAATCAGGATTGGATCACGTGCAACGCACGTGGAAGTGAAGACTAGTA